GAAATTTCTGAAGAAGGGTCTAGGCCCGAAACGTCAGCCTTCCTGCTCCTCTGATGCTGCTTGGCCTGCTGTGTTCATCCATCTCTACACCTTGTTATCTCAGATTCTCCAGCATCTGCAGTTCCTACTATCGCAGATATATGGAGTTCGGCCACAGATCAGCCATGATCTTATTGATCTGTGGAACAGGCTCGTGGGACTGGATGGACTATTCCTGTTCTTATGTTCAACAGGATCATAACTGATCCAACATTCCTCACAATCACTTTCCTCATAAACTTTGATTTACCGACTGACCAAAAATATATCTCAGCCTTAAATATACACAAGGACACTGTCCCCACAGCCCTCTGTGGCAAGGAGTTTCAAAATCTCAACCCCCTGTCAGAAAACATTCCTTCTCCTCTCAGTCTTAAACCATCGTCCCTTTATTTGATTGGAAAAACAAAATTATCCTCATCTTTGTCTTAAATGGGTGCTCCTCTTATTTTTAACTGCTGCCACTGATAAATGCATATGTTTTAAAGTTTTCAAAAACCATGACAATTACTGCAAAACCATTCCTCAATTTTTTTTATTATTATTCAATCACAGATGTGGGCATCGCCAGCTGTGCCAGCATTTATTGCCCATCCTTAATTGCCCAGAGGGTAGTTAAGACTCAACCACATTGCTGTAGGTCTGAAGTCACATGTAGGACAGACCAGGTAAGGACTGCAATTTCCTTCCCTAAAGGACACTGGTGCACCAGATGGGCTTTTCTGATGCTCGACAACGGTTTCATGGTCACGGTTAGACGCTTACTTCCAGATTATTATTGAATTCAAATTCCATCATCTGCCATGGTAGGATTCAAACCCGGGTCCCCAGACATTAGCTGGGTCTCTGGATTTCAAGCAGCTCATTAATTTATTGCAGCAACTCACAGCAATACCATAGTTGACACAAAATAATTCATCAATGACCTTCCCTCCATCATCAGGTCCAAAGTGGGGACTTATTGATGATGACTGTAGAATATTCAGCACCATTTGCAATTCCTCAGATACTGAAACAGTTTCTGCCTAAATTCAGCAAGACCTGGACAAGGTCCACGTTTGGGCTGACAAGTACTAAGCAGCATTCATATCATACAAATGCCAGGCAATGACTATTTTCAACAAGAGACAATCTAACCACCATTCCCTAACATTCAATGGAATTGCAATCACTGAATGCCCTATTATCAACATCCCATAGGTTACCATTGACCAGAAACTGAACAGGACTAGCTATATAAATACAGTGGCTATAGTAGAAGCAGGTCAGAGGTTAGAATCCTGCAGGAATAACACACCTCCTGACTCCACAAAACCCGCCTGCCATCTCTGAGATGCAAGTCAGGAGTGTGATGGAATACTCCCCACTTGCCTGGATGGGTGCAGCTCCAACAACACTCAAGAAGCTCGACATCATCCAGGGATAAAGCAGACCACTACGTTGGCACCACTTGGTCAAAATATTCACTCCCACAACTGATACTCAGTAACAGCAGTGTGTAGCATCCACAAAATGCATTGCAGAAATTCACCAAGACTCCTTCAACAGCATGTTCCAAACCGAGTACCACGACCATCTAGAAAGACAAGGGCAGCAGATACATTGGAACACTACCACCTGCAAATTCCCCTCCAAGCCTTTTATAATCCTGACTTGGAAATATATCACAGTTCCTTCAGTGCTGCATGTTTTGAAATCCTGAAATTCCCTCCCTAATAGCATTGTGGGTCAACATACAGCACATGGACTGCAGTGGTTCAAGAAGGCAGCTCACCATCACCTTCTCAAAGGCAATTAGGGATGGGCAATAAATGCTGGGCCCAGCCAGTTACACCGATAACCCATGAATGAATTTTTAAAAAGTTTGATGAAGTTTACAAAATAATGAGGAGTATCGATCGAGTTGATAGTAGTTGTCTTTTCCTTAGGGTGGGGGATTTCAACCCTGGGGGGGCACATTTTTATGGAGAGAGGAGAAAGATTTAAAAGACATGAGGGGCAATTTTGTTTTACACAGAGGGTGGTTCACATGTGGAATGAACATCCTGAGGAAGCGGTGGATGTAGGTACAATTACAATGTTTAAAAGACATTTGGATAAATACATGAAAAGGAAAGGTTTGGAGGGGCCAGGAGCAGGCAGATGGGACTCGTTTAGTTTGGGATTATATTCAGCATGGACTGGTTGTACCAAAGGGTCTGTTTCCGTGCTGTGTGACGCCATGACTCTATGGATTTCATTATGTGGCTTTGATTTAGTGTCGAGGACTTCTTTAAAAAAAGACCCAGTTTCTAGTTTCTATGGAATGCTGTGCGGCAGTTTGGCCAATTTATGGAAACTGTCCATTAAAGCTGTCTCTGTAGAACATTCTTTCATTTTTCAGATATTGCTGCATTTTAAAGTCAATGCATTCTTGTTGAAGTTTCTCCTCAGCTGTAAAGATCAGTCATTTCAACTACCTCAATAAAACATGCTGCCTCACCACATCCTGAGCGGTTATGTAACTTTATATCTTTTTACGCCTAATGCCTTCTTTACCATCTGAACACACTTCACTGGCCTTGCTGCTCATTTGCTTAAGTTCGTCTGTCATGGATTTAGGCTCCATGTGAGAATCGCAGCTGTGGGCTCATAACTATAGGCCATTCTGTATCCCCCTACCCTTGTCTGTCATACTTCCTGACTAAGTTTCACACACCTGTGCTCAGTCCAGCATTGCTCGTAAATAAAAAGAAACAAGAGATTATGGACTTCAGCAGAGAAAATCAAATTAAAACTGGGCCTCAAATTCTTTTCTATAACAATTCCTGATCCCGACCTGTTCCTGGACTAAGCTAATCTTGTATTCCCAAAAAGAACGTGAAAGGTGGGGAAATTGTGTATGGAGTCATAGAGTCATACACCATGGAAACAGATCCTTTGGTCCAACTCCTCCATGCCGATCAGACATCCCAATCTGAACTAGTCCCATTTGCCAGCATTTAGCCCATATCCCTTTAAACCCTTCCTACTCATATACCCATCCAGATGCCTTTGTTATAAAGCGGAAGTTGACCCCCCTTTGAGAACTAACACTGAATCACCCAAAGGGAAGCGCCACACTTTAAAAGTGGTGTGACCTGC